CACATCAAACAAACCCATCCAGACATCAGAGCACCAAAAGTGTTTTTCAAGGCATAACGACCTGTCTTTGTATCCAGAGTGGGTTAATGGAAAATCGCTCAAGGTTTGGAACTCCCGGATCCCTCTTAACAGACGTCAAACACTTCTCGAGGACCTTGCGGAGTTCCTACTGCAATTATGGACTACTGCGGTGCCCCCTGATTTTATACCAGAGCAAAAGTCTCGGTATTCCGCTTGGCTCTCAGAGAGCCTAGACCGAGGTCTCCGACGAACTCTCACTGGTACTGCTAGATGGGGTGATGCCATCGACTATCTCATCATGAGGTCGATGATCCCCGAGTATGCTGGAGACTATGACAAGTACACAGATGTTGGCTTCGCTCATGGAGACCCGAATGCGTATAATTTCATGAAAGATGATGACTTTCACTTGACAGGGTAAGCGCGCGTCGTTTTCCTCAACTTTTTCTCTTTACCAGCTTTTCTAATGGATAGCTCAAATTACAGGGTGGTCGACTGGGACTGGATATCTGTCGCACCGCTCCCCGCCGTTATACATCACCCCTGGTTCATAGCCGATATTCCGGGGTGGAGCAATGATAGCGTCGCCGAAGGAGAAAGCTTCGGCGAGGATCGTTCTTATCTTGCGAAGGCAATCAAGAACAAAGAAATATCGCGACGGTTACCGGTTACCGTATCAACGCTGCTGCAACATTCCGGTCGGAGACTGTTTTTTCAGTCCGCCTTCCACTTCAAGGGCATTCATGAGAAGTTAAGATACACTGCGCGCGAACAGAGAAGAACGTCAAGGCTGCGGACTCACAGCTGAATGCTGTGGTTTCTTCTTATCCTGAGCCGGATGAAATAGAAGGGGTGCAGAGAATCAAGGATTTGCTTCGTGACATGTGCCTAGAGTCGTAAAACACAAGAGTCAATATAGGATGTACTTTGTACTCCGAATCATAAGCATGGCTAGATAAACTTCTCACGACGCGGAAATAGTCCGCAACAAAGTAATTCATGGTATATACCCGGTTGCTTCTCAAATGCAGAGGACTACACGATCCGCGTGGCCTCGAACGATATTTCTTTGAGTTGCGTGTGCGAAAGAAAATGCATAGTAGGAGTTGTTCTATATGCCTCCATCCCCATCCTGCTTAGGGCTCTTCCATAGATCCCCCTGGTGTGAGTATTTCTTCATCTATAACTCTTCACAGAACTATATCATGGGCATGGCAGACTGAAATATCGAAAGCCTAACACATTTGAATCAAAATCACTAATGTGTTCTCTTATGTAAACTGTCATTGAGTCAGACTAATACAATGCATTTGCAAATGGCGCTCCCTGTAACCAAGATAGCTAGTCGACGCATAACGGGTCCAAACTCCAGCAAGAACAGCATACGCAATCACTATGATCGGTTCCTAGTGCCAGTTATGTAAGTAAACCCCCTTGAGTGTGACTAGGCCTAGGAAAGGACCACAGTCTAAGCATCCAAAATTTAAGAGATTTCGCATGGACCGAATCAAACTCTTCGAGTGGTAAAATCGCATCTGCTTCGACATCATCACAAAGTGGTTGATGAAGAGAAAGTTCTGTCAGATGTCATAGCCTTGCCAGTCCGGCCGGTGAGGGTTGAGTCCTTTATGCGACAGACATGTTATCTCAGACGGTGTAGCTAGGGCAGTTAATGAGGTTGAACTTTGAAGAGTGCTTCAATTCCATGTCTGATAATTTTCAGATACATGGTTGATGAAATTATATGTGCCACGGTGTGGTAGCCGATGGCCGGCCTAGGCTTGTTCGCCGTTTGATATATGGCGTGTAGGGTGCCTATTGAAGGTGTAGCGTGGATCAGCTGAGCACCCTGTTTACGCGGCTTGAGGTTCTAGCCAATGTTTCTCGTTAGCCTCCACTCCAGTGATAAACATGTGGCAATTGGAACCATTTTCGAAACGATCCAGCCCATGATAACAAAATACAAGTTCTGCAAGTAGTTCACTTATCCAATCGCGCAAGAGCGATTGATCTACTCTGTCGCACCGAGTTACTGGGACTGGCCGCGGTCCACGCCAAGCTTTGGGCACCACAAGATCCATCCACAGGTCAACCACGGAATCCTTTATTGTATTATCTGCTGGATTTCTTGGTGTGGAAAAATAAGTTCAACTAAGCCATCACTTGCAAATAAGGGCGACAAACGGCTCCGTCTCATAAATTATATACTTTCGCCTCGACATCTTGCAAGTTATTGCGCCACCTCTAAACCTAGCTGCAATCTCATATGACTTCATATCTGGCCACCGATGAACATATCCATGGGGAAGGTGTGTCTCCAGAGGGAATATATTAGAAGCGGTTACACAGGCCTTGAACGTCTCACAGGAAACCGAAAAAGAACATAGCAATCTATTTTCCAGAACTATAATACCCAACTCGAAGAGCGTTTTTCGCTATTATGTACTTCAATCTAGCACCTGCCACTCTTATAATATCCGTGTGCGCTGCTACTGTGGCTGCTACGGCAGCCCACGGGCCCAAACCCAAACCATGTGGTATATATACCACCGGCCAGCTCTGCACTACAGATTCCGCTTGTGAGTTCGTCTGCGCAAACTGGTGTGCATATCATTGCAGCGGCTCCGCCAGTGCTCCATATACATTCAAGTGCCAAAAGGGCTATTGCGAATGTACTTGTTACACCTAAACGACGGCCGGTATGCAGGCAATCCTGCGGCTCAGGATTATTGATGTGCAGATGTGTGCTTAGGTTCGTTAAACGACGACGACTGCTGTTACGGATTTTTTTGTCCAGGATTAGCTGAAACTGTCCCGTATTGTGGTTGAGACTTGTGATGTAACCAATGCATATCTTTGCAGTTAGAGCACCGGGCTCTTGTTCATTAGGCGGCGTTAAAAAAGCTCGCGCATATTCTATCTAGGTCTCTTTTCTTCAGGATCAATTTGGCGCTTAAGATGATATCCTATTTTTGACCAGATCACTCTGTCCATCCTTTTTCAGTCTATCTCCCTTATAAAGCGTAAAGCCTGGAAATTCGACGGCTATGGAGGCAGGACGTATAGGAGTTTCGTGTAAGATCCAGTATTATACTCCACATAAACGTTCTTGAAAAACAGACAGGTGCTATTCTTAAAAACAGGGTAATTTGTCCATATAGGATATGAGTTGAGGGATTCTCTCGAAATATTTCGCAGTGGAAGAATGACTTGACATTCAAGTTTAAAGTACAGATTCCTTTATAAGTACGATAGCTGGCAATAATGCGTGAGACTTGAACTTGAATTACTGTGTAGACCACCACAATGACGAGAGTCAGAGGATGGCTGTTATTGCGGGGAGAGGAACTACTGTGTACTTCTTTTTCCCTCAATAGAGGTCCTGATTATCTTGCATACATTGATCACTGATCAAGCTTACTTATCATCTTGACAGTAGGTGTCCCTCGTCATTACTAGTTAGGGTTGTCTACTCCCGTGAGATAGCTTCAGCGACAAAGTGGTGAAAATTCCTTTTAGTCCACCATCGAGTGATTCGTGAAAGTATGACTGAAAATAGGCAGTACGTTGATGTACACGATTTTGTTGGTGTTTTGGATATACTTTAGTACAAGGCTAGACCAAGGCACCATTCACTTTGGTTGCATCGGGACTCGTCATCAAGTTATTCGATGTAAGTTATGAACAAGTGGTACTTCAGTAAACGCTGGCAGAGATGTAGTATGTTTCTCGAGCAGATATAAAACAGCTCTTCAGATGGATGATTCCGGCCTTTTGCAGTACCGGAGTACGTAAAGATATTGTAAGGGTTGAGATTGAGGGCCTTTCCAATGATCGGCGTCTGTTGATATTTTAATTATCCTGCTCAATTGTACTCCGTACACAAGTGACAAAAAGTAATGACTCTCGAAAGTCACATGATCATAAAAAGTTCTGCCACCGCATCGAGCTGGTCACCTGGTCACCTGGATGTGTTATACCCTGAACTTGATATCAGAACAGGTAGCACCACCATAATCACAACCAACACTAGAGAAATTAGATAAAAATAGACCCGCAGCATTGCCCCCGCATAGGACTAAGATGTAGACTCACTTTAAATCCTTAAATACCTGAATCCATGGGACCAAAGCCCCAAGAAGGCTATACAGCTTGTGGATGATATTTCATTGTTTTTTAAGCTTTAAATGAGAAGAGCGGGTGTAGTCTAGTGGTTATGATGCGTGCTTCTTTGGTCGGGGTTTGGTTTTGCATGTCTAAAAAATGAAATTAACAGTCAGTATATTACTCCAGTGAAGAAAGGTAAAGTGGTATCCGGAAGTATCACTATCGTAAGAAAGAAATCCTGTGATGGAGTGTTGTGGTCCACTCTGAACGGCATGCCCCAAGCGTGGTTGGGGGCCCGAGGGTGCCTGGGTGCCTGGGGACCCCATAATAGAAGCCCTAACTTGATATACCCTTCAACTTGACCTTATCTACTCCACTACTACTTTAGAGCCGCCTATGTGTCGACTTTCTCAATGTAACTAATTATATAGCAGAGAGGACAATGTAGAAAGCTTGACCATTCTCAAGACATGGATCTTTGCGTGATATTTCCCCATATTCATGCAGAATCGTACATCAATAGCCTGCGACATTTGTAGACTCAATTGCACTTTCTGGAGCATCTTAACGTTGGGCAACTTACTCCCGAGTAAGTTATAGCATAACTGTCATCATAGGTCAAAGAATGAGTCACTTTAATTGAAATATTACCTAACCATTCAAAGATTTGTGACTAATGCTCTAGCGTTAGACTAGTGAGGATCTGAGCTTGATAAGCTTGAAATAAACGCCGTAGGGGCAGGACAGCATATATACGCTCAAATATTGTCTTAAAAATACCCCAGAATCCTTCCCAAGGCAACGTAAATCCTAATTTAGGCTAGAAGAAGGGTGTATACATATTGGAAAACGGTCTTTGCCACTCAACAAATGCGCTGGTCGTCTAGTGGTTAGGACATTGTCTTCCCAAGCTCAGAGGAAGAGGCAGGTACGCGGGTTCGAATCCCGCCCGGCGCATGGTTGATTTTTTGCGATTTTTTGGTTTATTTTGAGGCTATTTGAATGTATCCTCGGAGAATATCCATTAATGGTTGTCATGGCTGATTCTGCCGGGCGGTGTGCCCTGTCGGTTACCGGGTGATACACGTGATCTCATTTACCCTGTTGGGGCAAAACAGTGCCATTGTAGGTAAATAATACTAATACGTACTTCATTATAACTGAGTACTTTTGAGAGAGGAAAAAATTATCACATACTGCTAAGAAGGAATAACAACAATTATCAATCGGTCGCATGTCCGTGGTTTGGATGGAAGTTACGGTACTCCCGAACGCTTGAAAACCACTTGGAATTTCAAGCTTCGGGAACCATTGACATGAATCTCATCTTCTCGAGTAGAACCCTGGGCCAGTAATGTAGATTAGGCAAATGATAAGCTTCATGTGCCAGACTTTGTCAGCCTATTGTGCCTAGCCAAATTTCAACGCGATCGTTGCGGCCATTTTCCACAAGAGATTTTAATATACGGTCTGCATGGGGGCGAAGCCGAGCCTAGGATATCATACCTCTGAAATAATCTCCCCCATAGTCTTATCTTACTTCTGTCCCGGAGCTGGTAGTGTAGTCGTGGAACCGCTCAACTGAACTCCCTGCCCCTTAGCTATGGGCTAGCGGCCAGTCTCACAGACCGATGCGCTTCAGGACTTGTAGTAAATTGTTAATGGCTTTCTAAAACTTCGTTAAATGTTAAGAAGCAGGTTCTTTAATTACAACGATGATTTAGATTAGATAGCTTTCCAGACGCCTAAAATGAGCGAGATCTCATAACTGCCATGACCCAATGTGGAAGATGGCAGAATCTATCTATCATCATGATTGTGGGAGAACTACCAGGCAGACCATTTATCTTTCTCTACAGATACCTCGTCTTATATGATCATCATCTTTCTCGTCATTCATCCCCTAATACTCATTATAATTGATATCTTTCTATACCGGACTTGAATCTCGTGGTTGTACCTTGATATACCAAGGATATATCCACCATGGACACAATCTCAAACCTTGGAATAGATTTACATTGTCAGCAGAATAATATATGTTGTTCTCAAGAGCTCTACCCCCTTTGTTATCTCCATCTTATCTCAATACCTTATCACTTTATAGCCTACCCTATCAAATTTCGAACTTGGATCCTGTCTCTTGATTCTGAGATAGCTGGAAGGATTTGGCAGAATTCCAGGCATTTGCCCCTCTAACCCGAAATAGGAACGACCACCACTTCCGACATTTTTTCACCATTGGATATACCGTGAGAATATCACTATCAACACATTTTCAAGCTCTCTTGACACGACAGCGGTCGGTGCGTCTCAGCGTCTTCGCCCGTTGGCCATGTACACAGACCCCGAGGAGCCTTTGGGAAGAGAAGTATATAGTAACGGATTGTCGAAAATGGCTGCGAGACTTTCGGCAGGATCTGTGTACACAAGGAAGTTTCTGCATTTATATTACTACTACAATGCTATTAAGACAGTTCTCTAGAGCAAGTCGTTAGCTATAGATTTAAACATGAAATGAATGGTACTAACTCTGCATTCAGACTGGGCCTGAAAAACCACTAAATTAACGGCGACGGGGATAATCGGCAGTTTAAAGGTAGATATTACCAGCATTCATGGGTTTTACCTTGAAGAAAGAATTAATAACGTTTGCCATTCAAAGCTAGCCTGGATATGGAGAGCTACCGGGTACAAGGCAGCTGGACGCACCATTGACCCGCATTCTGTATAAATATTCTCTTAATTTTATAGTAAATCTATATATTATATATTAAAATCAGGATTTAATATATAACTATATTCTAGAATTAAGCTATAGGCTTATCCAATACAGCAGATATTATAGTCTTTCGCCTAGACCCGCCTTTTAAAGAGCCATCTTTAAGAACATTATAATATTATATTACTGTATCCGCACCTGTATCTTTCCAATTCTATTTATCCTCCAGTAAATTGGAGATCAGATAGAACAAAAGATATTACAGAAGATATAGCTAGATTAGAGATATAGTATCTTTAAAAGCTTCGTCCTCTTCTTTCTTCTTAACTGCAGTGCCAGAGAGCTGCACCTCAATATCCAGGAATGCCTGCTCTTCATCAAAGTTCTCTCAGATCGGATACCGCAAAGCCCTCAGCAATCATTTTCGCGTATTCGTCACTTCCTTCTTTTGCCTCTCAATCCGAATGAGCAGGCCTGGTTACTGGGTCTTATCATACTGGGCACCAAGCTCGCTCAGCTTCTGGCAGGCTTCTTCCAACTCAGGATGGTCCTCCACCTGTGCCCTCTGTTGCTCAGTTAGATATCTCGGGCGTCGTGGGTCTTCCCAACGGTTCTGGCGCGTGACAGCCCGCATTAATTCCACGTCCGGGTCAAGGCCACAGATAACCCGAATCATATCTGTGTCGATCTGCAAAGGATGCTAATGGTCGAGAAAAGTCTGGGGGCTAGCGTGCTTCATGATCAACATATGTTGTTCTTTACTGACCCATCCTGAAGTTGAAGGCCAGCAGCTAAAAGGACCCCAGAAAGGGGCGGGATAGAAAGAGTTACTCACCACTCTCATTGATCACTTTGCCACTCCCGTACCGGAACTGATGGGCATGGAATGCCCCGGGCCATCCGCGGATCTCCCCAAACGTGACCAGTAGGCTGGACATGGAGGACTTGGACATGGGTTAGGTCGGCTGAATGGTTGGAAACCCTTTGACCAATTCCGTTTTGCAAAAGACATACCAATCCGCCTTCTCCGGGTCCAAGGGACAACAGGAGCTGTTGGCAACCTTTGCTAACAGACAGCTTCCGCAGCTAGGCCTTTGATGTCAATTTATTCCGGAATGCTTTGGCATGGAATAAGACTCCGAATAGTAATGTATGAGGACATATCACCAAAGATGGTCCATAGACCACTTCAGGGAGTGCAAATGTAGTCCTGTCATCAGTTAGCCCACATTGGCCCGGTTTAGACTGGTCTCGAAAGAGGCAATGGTTTTCAAAATAGATTCATGTTGGCGGATCCAGCAGGACTTGGAGATCATGAGATAAGAAGGGGAAAGGAAGGCAGCGCCCTTACAATTTAGTCAGCCTGAGAAACTTTTTACATCCATCAGGCGTCAGCTCAATCAAAGGGATAGGAGGTCCACCGCGAGGATCCTTCTGTAGTGAGATTTGTAGGTTTTTGGACTGGAGACTCAACAGGGCGCGCCTGCGATGTACAATGAACAGAGCCAGCGAATTGAACAGGCACACTTGGATGCGCTGGAAGCCAAGGTAGAACTTCTTTAGCTGAGTCGAGAGAATCATTTCGTTCAACGGGCCGATATCTTCAATGTAGACTGGCGTCTTCTTTTTCGGTTGCATATCTAACCCATGTTCTACCACCAAGTACTTGATACCCTATAGATTGGACGGTTAGACAAGACAGTCAAACAAATCAAAAGAATAATGATTCATGCTACTGACCCTCCGCACCTCTGACCCATCTATATCGTCGATTTTGCTCTTGGTGAGTTTTTGGTAGTAACCACGAAGGTTCTTCCAGTCAGTATTCAACGAGCTAGACTTGTGAATGCCCTTGTTACGTTGACCGTTCTTTCCTCGCTTGAGTTTGAGGGACCAGCCCAAGGACCGACACAGGTCGTTGTTGGACGCCTGGCGTAGGGCCTCTTCAGGATCCCGCCATTTTTGCACATTGGGCTCTAGTTTTATTTTGCTGTTAGTGGAGGCCAAGTCACTACAGATTCTATTTTCGATGCAGCAAAGAAAGGCCTTGGAGTTCAGGACACTGCTGCAGGAAAAGGTAAAGCTTGACCTTATCAACAAATCTATATACTCAGTGTATATACAATTAACTGTCTCTCAGGGGCTGCTATAGAGATCGAACAGAACGCAAAAAACGACGGTGACTATGAATACAAGATTCAACAGCTGAATGTTGACATGAAAAATCTCTTACCTGAGGGTAGAAAAGGGTCATGGGCTTTCGGCTCGTTATCGGTTACTCTCCCTTCCAACAAACCACAAGATTATTACTAACAGAGTGGGTAATTAGATCGACTACAGTATTGATCAGTCTGCTTCGCGATTGACAGTCATACTTGGCCTGCTGGGCATTGCATCAGGCCCTATCTCTGGCAATATACAACATGAAGTGAGAGTCTCTTATGCTTTGCGTGATGCACATGGTTCTGTCCGTCTGGATTTTACAGACAAAAAAAACCCTATATGCAGATGTGGATATCACTGTTCCTTTTGACGGAAGCTACAAGGATCGCCTTCAAGTAGTTATTCTCTAGAAGTCTCTAAAGCAGCACACATCCAACGGAACATCTACCTTTACAAAACTGCTCACACAAAGGAGTTCAGCTTAGTTTAAATTAAGTTGATGAGATAGTATGTTTCCTCAGTTAGCGTAAGGCTTCACTGTCTCGAGTAGTGGCATTTATCCTTAACTGCATCCTCAAACGCCTAGATTAACGACACTCACGAATCAACGTCACGGCAATCTCGTCGTAATAAGATAACCGGGTATAATGTGTCATGGCCACTCACTATTGGGTGGGGATGTGGCTAGTGTCCGGACTATCGGGACTGTGGCACTGGGCGCTTGGAGCATAGTCTCTCACCGCCGCTTGGATTCAAGGCGACGACCAGAGTTCTGTGACGCCACGGATTTCAGGGGCCATGTTTGTCGTTGACCACGGTATTTTCAGAGCAAGCCATGTAAATATAGCTCTCGGTATCGCGCAGAAAATATATTTAAGAGTCTGATAATGCCTTTCCTCCACGTAAGGTCAGTCACCTTTATTCCAAGTTCCTTCTGACTGCTGGTCTGGTACAAAATCCCTAACTTAGATTGTCTGTTTTAGGAGAGCAGCTTCTATTTGTCAGATCACAGCCTATAAGAATGTCTTCCGATGAAAATATCACGCCGCAGGTTGCCTCTGCTGATACAGCT